GAGCTTACCTCTTGAAGCTTTTCAATTTTGCTTTCTTGTGGCACAAGTTACTTATACCGCTTCAACAGGATCCAAACCCTTTTTAGTCCCTAGGCACACCTAGAGAAAGAATCCAAAATACACATCAATAAAATGCTATCATGCCTAGATTTTCATAAGGCATACATTTTATCGCTTATTTTCGTTTCTTTACGTTTTTGTCAATCCTATGCATATACACAAGTCTAGACCCCTTTATAATCGTTCGCGTTCTTTAATTTAATCAAGTGTTCACTTGAGAATTTTCAACATAAATCATGCCATTTTCTTTAAAAGGCCGTGGACATCCCCTTAGGGAATCAAGATATTTTTCACAATTTTCTAAGCCATTTCACTTCTTAACTCAGCACTTTCATACATTGAAGAACCACACATTTTATTAAAATAAAATGTAACAAAATCTATTCCTAAAAACACCTCTATAGGTCGAAATCTCCTAGGAACTTCCAAGGATTCTTTTCTTTTTCAATTCATTTTCTTCACTTAACTTATAATGTAATGTCCCACATCGGTTGGAGAGGGGAATGAAGCATGCCTTAAATAAGGGTGTGGATACATTTCCTTGTAGGAGGCCTTTTGGGGGTAACCCAAAACGTAAAACTGTGAGCTCGACGGTGCTTGTGCGCGGGGCAAAGCGGACAATATCCTGCTACAGGGTTTGGGGCTGTTACATTTGGTATCAGAGCAGGGCCTCTCATCCAGTACGGTGTGGTTCGAGGACGAACCAGGCGGAAGCTGGTGGGCCTGTAACATCCCGAGCGCTGACGAGGGCGGGGAGTGATCGCCGGTGCAAAGAGGCACGGATAAGGAGCGGCTCCTGACAGGCTTCCAGCGGGGGGTTACATGCATGAATGAATCGAATCGACACCCGAAAGAGAGGGATTCCAAAGACTGTGCAGGTGTGAGACTGCACAGTTTGGGAGAGCTTATAAGAATTAATTGGTACTACCTATACTAACAAGATGCATCTTCTTTTCGATAGCCCGGAACGGAAGAACTCCATAGTTAAGCGTGCTTGACTTGGAGCAATTCTGGGATGGGTGACCTTCTGGGAAGTTTTCCCGGGAAGTGTGCGAGTGAGGAAAAAGCACACTGAAAAGTCTCGTGTTAGTATGTAGGGATAGTCGTTGATTCTTGCAAGTTGTCAGGCATTACAAGTGGTATCAGAGCCTGGCCCTGGACCGGTGTGTACAGCGGGGACGCTGTATTCCCAGTGGGGGAGGATGTAATGTCCCACATCGGTTGGAGAGGGGAACGAAGCATGCCTTAAATAAGGGTGTGGATACCTTTCCTTGTAGGAGGCCTTTTGGGGGTAACCCAAAACGTAAAACCGTGAGCTCGACGGTGCTTGTGCGCGGGGCAAAGCGAACAATATCCTGCTAAAGGGTTTGGCGCTGTTACATATAACTTGCACCTACCTATGTATGCATCCACAAGGTTCCAATTTAATTTCGAAACATCAAGTCCCTCCAAAGCCCATCATGGCCGAAAATGGTGTGCAACACCATAGTATTTTTCCCACTTTTGCATTCCTACTACTTCATCAAATTTATACCCAATCCCACATATTAAATCTTCTCAATACATAGAACAAAGTTTTACATATCACCCCCTAATTACCCTCACAAGGCCGAGGCATAGGGGAAGAGATACATGGGATTTTTTTCCAATTTTTTTAACTTACATATGCTTATTTTTCTTTTCCTATCTCCAAAACACACACAATACATCATCACTTCACATTTTAAACTAACTTATTTTCCACCCAACACATGCTCATAATTTTCATGGCTCAACTCATCAACATAATACAATGAAAATAGGGGTTTATTACCTCCAATAGCTTGTACAAGGTCTAGGGAACCATCTCCGAGCAAAACTCCTTCCAGAATACAATTTCTCCTCCTTGATGAATAGTGACACGAAAATGGGGGGAGGAAGAACTCTTCACACACTCAACTATAGCTCAAATTGATCGGTGGAATGGATTCATTGGACTTTTTCCTATGATTTTCATGTATAGCATCAAGCCTTTTGGTGTAAAAATGGATGGAAATCAAAGGAAGAAAAAAGAAGAACCCTAGCCCTATTTCTCCATGCAGCTGCGGGTTGGGAGGGGGAAGAAGGAGAGAAAATGAGAGTGAATAGTGATCACTTAAGTCACTTAAGGTTTTTAAGCATATGTGGCCCTTTACCCGGTTGTTTTTCTATCGCATATTTTCACTTAAACTTACCCTGAATTAACTTAAAGCTACAGACACTTTTTTATTTTTCTGAATACTTTTACATTAATTTTTATTTCCTAAGGAACAATTTCATAATTCATAGTATGATTTCTGCACCATTTTTGATGAAATGCACTGTGAATGACTAACTGTACGTCTTTTGCTTATGAAACTTAAAAATTATGAACTTATCCTTCTTGGGCCTATTATGACTTGTATGGCATATATTGGAATTTCTTATTCTTATTTCATCAGTTATTTGTTCTGGACTTTACCGGTTGCTTAAACAGCAGTACAAAAAACCCTGTAGAAAACACTATTCACGAGATTTTCACGGAAAGTGTCAGACTATACAATTTTTTGTTCTGAACTTATATATGGCGTCAGATTTATCAATTTTTGTCTCTAAAATCATTTTACTCATTTTAGCTCTACCGGTTAATTCACAAGAATGCAGATCACCCGGCAGAACGCACTGTTCATAACCTAGTCATGATTACAGTCAAAATACTTGAAATCACACTTTGAATCTAATTATGTCATTTAAATCTTTAAATTCAATCTCTAATTAGGATTTACCAGTTAGGGTCATTATAATTTGCATCTGAGTATCCTTAGGACAACATGAGAGCTCGAGGGATGTCTCCTGGAGATGTTTTACACACTGCATGGATATGTATTTTCTGCATTATTTACGATTATTGCTATTATATTGTGAGTGAACTATGGGGTGGAGAGATGCTCCAAGGACCCCTGGTTAACTGAGATGTATTCATATATCTCACCTCATGTTGTGGGGACCCCCTTTCAGGTACAGATGTTGCGGAAGCTTCTGCTGGCAAGTGGCCATGCTTGAGTTAGAGGGATGCATAATTTATGAAGCACCGACACTACAAAATCCCTAGCGTATCGTGTCCGACACTACAAAATCCCTAGCGTATCGTGTCCGACACTTCCCGACACCCACCGACACTCTGACACTTCGCAACACTCCAATACTCGTTGCAAAAACTCAAAAAAGGTTCAAAGGCTACGTTGAGTTGCATTTTGAGTTCCAACTATTAGATTTGTGGGATTATAATTACTATTTTATTGAGTTTAATATAAAGATTTGGGATATCTTATGTTTCTTGGCAAAATTTATGGCTATTATAAGTTTAGCTTTACTTTTTTGTTAAATTATTGAATATTAAATATCATATACACTACATAAATTAAAAATATTATATAATATCAAAACGTGTCCTAACGTGTCAAAATTTAACATTTTTTATAATTAACGTGTCGGAATGTCGTGTCGTATCGTATCTCGTGTCTCGTATCGGTGTCGGTGCAACATAGTGCATAATGATGCTACATTCTTTTGGTTATGCATGCCATTGGGATGGTTTACCATATACAGGACATGTTGGATGCATTTTTGGTATAAGTCTTCTTGAGGGACTTAGGAGGTGATTATTGACATTTTGTATAGCCCTTGCATATATAGATAGGGACTTTGATAATATGCTATTCTAAGTTCTTTGGCATGTATATAAATTTGGAAGAACATTGGTGTAATTGAGATATTGATACATTGAAGAATGTGATGCTATATTCATCATTTTGAATTGTATAATTAATCTGATGTAATTATATGCTAATGGATATCATGTGAGCCTTGAAATGGTAAGGAATCATGTATTGAAATAGTTGTATAATGTCAATTAGGTGAAAGAAGATATTTAGATTGGGAATTAATGTAAATATAAGGATACCATGTCTTTTTGTTCATTTTTCATATCCTATATGATAGATTTGAACCCTTGTGTCTTAATGGAAGTTGTAGATCTTTTTCTTAGCTTTCCAACGAGACCAAGATTGCGTCAATCAGATAAGTATAACTCAAGTTATGGGTAAAATACTAATGTAGGGTGAAATCTCCAGACCGTGGCGCTGTGAGCGTCAAAGTTGGCAATGTGGGAAGACGCGAGCAAGTCAGTGCTCCCGCGCTACCAGCGTGGGACTCCCTGTGAAATTCAACACTTTTTCTTCAAAAATCCATAACTTGAGTTACGGTGCTCCGATTTGAGCGCGGTTTGAACCCACGCGTAGTTAACAGAGAGATCTATAATATAGTAGGAAATGAAGACCATAAAGAAAGTATAGAATTCCTTGAGAAACTAAAAAGCGAAAGTGTTTAGTGTGAATATTAACAAAAAGGAGTTTTTAAGCTTTGTTGGTCTTAAAGGGCTACTTGGCACACTGTGGTAGCAACGTGTGGTTATTATACGATTAAATCGTTAATGAATTCTTAAATCCATATTACCCAGTTTAGGGTTATTATACTGCACGTTTCATTGAAAGCGTCTGCAGAATGGTGTTTCTTAAACCTCAAAAGTAACGGCCCTTTAAATTTTTTCTTGGTTTCCTTGCATATGAAAAGCCATGTATAACAAATTTCATCTATATTATTACAAAAATGGTATCACCATTCTACTAAGCAGCAATGTGATATCCTTTTAAAAATGAGAGTAAGAAGTCTCGGAACAAATGTTGTAAAACACCAATCTCCCAATATATTACTCCAATTTTAAAAGAATAGCCAAATGACTGTAATAGAAAAACGAAGAGAAATTAAGTTAAACACAAAGTACAGCTGTATTTTTTCATCTTCACTTTTATACTCGGCTTCTGATCACATCTTCATGAATAGCCTAAGTTAGCTTCTTTTACAACCATCCCTCAGTAATATGCTTATACTGTGTAGTGTTGTTGAATGGTTTCAATGTCAAGACCCTTCAACTTCACAACCGATTCAACATGTCCCTTAAGCGTGTGTAGCTCCCTCAGCCTGTAAAATTTGATAACATCATATTAGCATTACTGTGTTGGATTCAACTTCACCACTATAAAATCATTTTAGTAGATGCATTCATTTGAAGTTTAGTCAGGGAAACTTAACCTAGCTGCCTCAGCACGCCTCTTAGCCTGCTCAGCAATTTCAGAATGCTCATGGTGGTTGTTGTTCTTCTGTGCTTCAGGAACTTGAAGACCGTGAATTGTGCGTTGAGCCACTGCCCATTGAGCCTCCCTCTCTCCCCTTCCGTAGTCCTTCTTTGTTGTGAATGCAGTCTGCATCAAAATACACACACAATGTTGTGGTGATCAATGATATTTGAGCAAGAAAGGCTACAAATGAAAAGAGGAAGCACCAACAACCAGTTCAAGTGGTAGGGAGCTTGTTCCTTATTAACAAAGGTTTCAAGTTTTGGGAATGACAAAAATAATATTGGAAGAGTCGTCCCATATATGGGTCTGAGAGTACTCGAATCGGATTAGTCAGATTTCGGATGAGCTGGTTGGAAAAATAATAGAAAGAAAACTTTCGCGGACCTTGTTTTGGAGCATGTTGTCCCAGGCACTCCCCGTGAGTCCCATGCGGATCAAAAACTTGAGGATGTCAAGAGGGATATAGGTAATAACGCTGTAGACCCAGATTGCTCCAGCCCATGTCCATCCAATTCCATTGATTTTAGCAAAGTCCCAGTGTGCATACACAGCAATGCAAGTAGCCACCTAAGTTAAGCACTCACCAAGTTAAAACCAGATGTATTTTTATACGGGACAGGATCCGTTTACAAACTTTTTTGAATTTTTTTACAAATTACACTATCTTCTCCCGGGAGAACATAGTGTAGTTTGTAAAAGTTTGTATTCTCCCGGGAGAATATAGTGTAGTTTGTAAACAAAAAAATTTGTAAATATAATCTGTCCCTTTTTATACATTGATGGATTCTTTTTTAACACAAAATTTTTCAGAAAAAAATGTTTGGTACAAAGAAACTAAACTAACCAATTGTGCAGCAATGAAGGCTCCAATAAGCATGAGACCAGGGCGTTCAGTATATGACCAGCTCCTTGACCTGGTCACAAAGATGAGTGCTTGACTAATAATACTCACTTGAAGGTAGAGAGCTGAGTTAAGCTGCTCCTCGCTGTCAGCAATTGAGTGGACACCAAATATTTTCTGAAAGAAAGAGAGAAAGAAAAACATCACTTTCATGCCATAATTGTATAATGTGTGTTTTCTAATTTCTATATTCAGAAATTTTTGGGTGAGCGAGTAGTTACTTACAGAGAAGAAATCAGTGTCATGAACAGCATAGAAGAAAACTGCGGTCATGATGGCCATGTATGTTCCAAGAACAATTCCAGTGGCAAAGATTTCCTTAAGCTTCCATGAGTCAGGGAGAGGAGATGGCTTGACCCTATCCTTGGAGATGGTCATGATGGTTCCATCGTTCAAGATGGCAATGATGAGAACCATGAAAGGTGAGAAGTCAAACTTCCAGATTAGAGCAACGAGCAAGAATCCAAGCACAATACGGATTGTGATGGAAACAGCATAGATGGTGTAGTTCTTCATCCTTTGGAATATAGCCCTGCTTGTCAACACAGCACTCACAATCACACTAAGTCCAGGCTCGGTCAAAACAATGTCTGAGGCACTCCTTGCAGCATCAGTTGCATCAGCCACTGCAATACCAATGTCTGCTTTCTTGAGTGCTGGTGCATCGTTCACACCATCTCCAGTCATTCCACAAATGTGTTTCCTTTCCTGCAACCTCTTCACAATCTCATACTTGTGCTCTGCATGTATAGTACATGTCTTAGACTCAGTTTTTGTTTTGTTAAGAGTCATGTTGTTATTGAGTTTAGCATAAATATAATAAGACTAATCTCATTACCAGGGAAGACTCCGGCAAATCCATCAGCCTTCTCAATGAGTTCATCAATTGGGATTGATGCAATGGAAGCATCCTTGCTATCACCAAGGAGGGAGGATGAAGGGTACATGTTGGTTCCCATTCCAAGCCTGCGACCGGTTTCTTTTCCAATGGCAAGTTGGTCACCAGTGATCATCTTAACATTGACACCAAGATCAAGAGCACGGCGAATAGTCTCAGCACTGTCATGCCTTGGAGGGTCAAAGAGGGGCAAGAGACCTAAGAATTCCCATTGATCTCCTGCACTCTCCTTGTTCTTTTCTGAAACAGTCTGCCAAGAAATAAAATATAATGTAGATTTATTGGAAAATTTCCTAACGCGCGAGCCTTGAAGCAACGGTAAGATAAAACAGCCTCTTTGCAAAAATACAACTAGGTTTGTGGTTTTTATCTATTAGAAAATTTCCTCATTTTTCTTGCTAGCAATGAATTCATAGCCTCTTATATTAGGCCCTTTACTCACCTGGCGAGCAACACCTAAGGAACGCAGACCACGGTCAGCAAACTCATCAATAATTTTGTGGGCCTTTTTCAATGCCTCTCCTTTGAGGGCACAGAGATCAATAATCTGATACATATAAAAGGGTAGTCAGATATCAGAAGTGATATGCATGTTACACTTTTTTCAGAGAATAAATATTTTGTGGTAAAACTAATTCTATTTCCATGCATATGAGGAAATGCCTTACTTGCTCAGGGGCACCTTTGCTGCTTCTGTGCCAGTTGCCATTGCTGTCAATGTAGGTAATAGCAGTGCGCTTATCCACTGGATTGAAGGGCAAGAAATGCACCTCAGTGATTCCTGCTCTTGCCTGAGATGTCACAACAGAATCCAAATTACAAAGTTAAGCCATTTTGCATACTGCATGCACTACACGTTAACACAAACTATGTTACGTAAATGAATGTGAATCATAGTACCTCCTTGGGGTCGCTCAACATTCCGACAATTGATGCATCAATGGCATCCTGGTTTTCAGTCCTAGAAGCCCTGGCAGAATATAAGACAAGGGTGTCCTTGTCCATACCAGTGACGAACACCTGCATTCGCAAACAACGCATGATTAGAAGAACAAGAAAGCTTTTTAGTGCAATTGCATCTTCACGCTTTTGTTTGATGATATGGGAATCCAGTACTTACGAATCATTTATTGTTATTATGTCATTTAAAATTAATAGATGTAATAATTCTTATGTAAAAACATTTTTAGTAGTAAGAAATAGTAGTTCTAGAAATTTAACGTTTAATAGTTACATTCCCATGCAAGAGTTCTTATGTGTTTCCATCTTCTTGATATACCACCGAAAAGTGGATAAATTCCTTTTCTTAGGAACACATACAAGATTCATCACCACAGAAAGGATGAGAATGGTAACCTCACCATAACTACTTCAATTGAATAGTAATAAAAATACATGCCTACCAAGATAGAAGAAGTGTAATTTTATCCTCTTGCCTTGGGAATTTAATTGTGATACAGAACACAGGAAAATATAAAAAAATGCTTAATTAAACATGGGAATTATAAATTTCTATGCATCCTATTACAAGGCATCTTAAAACATTTGAAGGCTCATTAATGAGAGTTGTTGGTTCATTATCATATTTTGCTCAAATAAAATCTTTACCTCAATCAAGCTCTTGTCCACGGTGAGCTTATTAAGGGTGAGAGTTCCAGTCTTGTCACTGCAGAGAACATCCATTCCTGCCATTTCTTCAATGGCAGTCATCCTCTTGGTGATGGCTCCTTGCTCAGACAAGCGGTGGGATCCAATAGCCATGGTCACAGACAAGACAGTTGGCATGGCAATTGGGATACCTCCAATGAGAAGCACCAACAAATTGTCAATACCATCTCTGTAAGCCCTGCCCTGAATAGGGTACATGACAATGATCTCAACCAACATGCCCAAAGCAATTGAGCAGATACAGAAGTTACCAATGGAAGTCAACACCTAAAATGCAAGCCAATAAAAAAAACATCCAAAGATTAGTCCAAAGTTGGATCATGCTTAGACATGAGAATCCAGTTTCAAATGCAAATTACTTGACTTAAAAGGTAAAAGATATGAAATGATATGATACCTTTTGGAAGTGACCGACATTGTTGGTGCTGTCAACAAGGTGTGCAGCCTTACCAAAGAAGGTGTGAACGCCAGTGGCAATAACAATAGCCTCAATCTCACCTTGTTTGCAGGTGGAGCCAGAGAAGACCTCATCACCAGGGTTCCTTGTGACTGGCAAGGACTCGCCAGTGAGGGCAGATTGGTCAATCTTGAGGGGATCTCCCTCCAAGAGACGGGCATCAGCTGGGACAATATCTCCCAACTTGATGCTAATCACATCTCCTGGTACCAAAATTGCTGCCTCTTCCTCAGTCCATTTTCCACCCCTCAACACCTACAATTACAAATTGGTTTCTTTCTTGTTAGCTGGTGAATGTGTGTAGAGTAGTATATAGCAATCCAATAAAATCACTCTCCGTTAAACCTCGATTAGCGAGGGTAGGGTGAGAGCAATCCTTGTATGCTGTCTTATCCTTGCATATTTGCAAAGAGACTGTTTTCCAGATTCGATCCCATGACCTTTCAGTCACAAAGAAGTAACTTTACCACTGCTGATACTCGCCATCGTTATATAGCAATCCAATCAGGGAAAAATTGAAATGAATGAACAAATGCTGTTACCTTGGTTTTGGGTGCAAGACCGGCCATCAAAGCGGCTGCAGCATTGCCTGCATTATTTTCCTCAATGAAACTGATGGTTGAGTTGATGACAAGCAACACCATAATACCAGTGAAATCTTGCCAATCCGGTGGCTTTCCCTGTTATATTTACAAGTTCTGTTAGGGAATGTCATCAACCAACTCGATACAAAAGCTTACATTTTAAGGCTTCACACGTGAATAGTTTTATATCATATCTCTAAGAGAGAAAAATTGCAATAAACTCAAGAGAGATTTGTAATTACCCCTCCATTGGCCAACACAATGGCCATGATAGCAGCTGCCTCCATAACCCATGAAAGTGGATTCCACATAAAGCCCAAGAACTTCAGGAACTTGCTCTCCTTTTTCTCCTCTAGCTTGTTGGGGCCAAAAACCTGGAGCCTCTTCTCTCCTTCCTCGGATGTGAGACCTTCTCTTGTACATTTTAGCTGCTTAAAGACCTCCTCAATTGGAATGTTTTCCTACACATATATAACCAATGTAACAACAACTTGTCATAACAAGGAATGCAAAAGAAAATTGCAAAACGTATCAAATAGTTGATATTTATTATTATTATTATTATTATTATTATTATTTTACTTACGAGATCAACATTCTCATTCTTGAGATCCTCAAATGAGATATCAGAAGCCATGATGAAAGAAAGAAGCCTTCTCTCTTTTTTTTTTCTTTTTTTTTAATTCAATCTATCAACGCTCCCAGGCCTCTACCTACCATAGGCAGGTAGAAAGAACAGAGAGCGAAAATACCCGTCAGAACAACAGAATATATAGATGTGTTAAGAAGGTGAGACAGCAACAACGGTTCTGGCTTCTCTTTCATTTTATAGTGTAGGGATATTGGAGATACAATAAAGAACCTGTGATTGTCCGTGCAATGCTATAATTATTGACCACTTGCAAGCTAGTTCGTGTTCCTCGGAGGTTGTTTGTTTAAATCTGCTAGGCTTTTGTGGCTCACAAAACACCCCGGTTGTTTGGGGTCTTAAAATTACAAGTCCTCTTGGTTGTAGAAACTAATCATTGAGAAGCTCATTTTATTGGTATACACAAATTCAATATGTTAACTTTGGGTTCCATGCAAACTCATATCTGCATGTTAGAATCTCTTGCTTTATTTTTCATAGTAATTTTAGGTTAAATTACTCTATATATATCTCCTTTTTTATATATAGTTTCACCAAGATTTTATTTAGGTTCATATAATTATTATTATTTTTAATTGGGCCATTCTTTCTGAAATAGTATAAGTCTTTGGAGACTAACATCATTCGAGTTTCATTAAGTATTGCTGACGAGGCATCTCATACATGAAAAATATTTTTGCTTATATGACAATAAATTATGATTATTTGTTCAAGTCATCATCTATCTTGCATATCAAAAGCCATGTGACTTGCATTGCACATGATTTTCTTCTACCCTATTCCTTCGCCTATTTCCATTTTTTCTATTTAAGGAAAATGTGTGTCTTTTTTTAAGGATAAAAATTTATATGCTTTTAAGAGTGAGATAAACACAAAGTGGTGAGAACCATTTTTTTATTTTTTTCAATAGTACTCACATTTCTTTATATCTATCTCTCTATTTGTAACACCCTGTTCTAGAACCGGTTTGTTAACATCGCATTATGATATTAAGCGCAGTTACAATTACATGGGTTCAATTAAAATCCGGATAAATTTTTCATTTTAAAACATGCCGAATTTATAATACCCAATTTCGTGATCATAACCATATTAACTTGCGGAATCAGATAAATCCAACTTAACATCATGTTTTTATTCCATTTTTAAACCATTAATTTACCTTTTATTTATTTCACAACTTCTACTATATCGTAGATCTCTTCATTAGCTACTCGTGGCTTCAAACCGCGCTCAAATCGGAGCACTGTAGCCCAAGTTATGACCGTTGGAATCAACACAAGAGAGTGTTGATCACAGGTCCCGCGCGCTTCAGCGCGCTACCGGGCGCTCAAGCGTGCGTTATCGGGCGCTAAAGCCTCCATCTGAGCGCTTAAGCGCACGGAGGCAGGAAGCATCAGGTATTTCAGTGTAAATGGGCGCTTAAGCGCACACCAGGGCGCTCAAGCGCGCTATCCTGGCGCTTCAGCTCCCATTGAGACATTTTAGCGCGCAGAGACAGAAGCATCTCCTCCTTCAGTGCCTAAGGGCGCTCAAGCGCGAACCAGGGCGCTCAAGCGCGCAACCTATAATAGCCCATCTTAATTAATTAGTAAATCAAGTGTAATTAATTAATTAAACATGTTTTAGTGAGTGAAATTAAGTATAAGGCTTAATTAAATGAATCTGAGTCACTTTGGAGTTAAAAAGTGTACTCAGTGAAAATTAAGGGGTATAAATGGGTACTGGCAAAAGTACCCAAAATATAAAAATAAAAATAGTAATATTCCTAGAATAATATTCCAGACTTTTGGGTAAAGTTTGGTAATTATTGGAGTTGAATAGATAGACGAACCAATACCCGCTTAAAGCCACTTAACCAATGTTAAGTGACCAAAAGCCAAAAGTGAACCCATTTCCCCCCTGCAACCCGTCGAGAAAGAAACAGAGAGAAGAAGAAGAAGAAGGAGAAAAGAGGAGGAAGGAAGGGAGGAAGAGAGAGAGAGATCAAACCTTGATGGTTTTGGATGATTCAAAAGCCTAAATCGCTTAGAATCTCGCCCTCTTTCATAATCCAAGCTTAGTTTTAAGTGGGGAGCTTTGTGTGGTGGGATATTGGCTCTCAAAAATTCGGCCCTTTGGAGAAATTTGGGGTTTTGAGAGTTTCTACCTCCATTGAAGCTTGAGGAGCCATCAATCCTTGGTTGTGTGACCATTGGTGGTAAGATTCTAACCCTTGAACCTCATGATTCCTTGAAATTTGCATGAGTTAGGGTTTGTGAATAGTAAATTAGGATTTTTATGAAATGTAGTTGAATTAGCTATGTTCTAGGAAGAATGGAGCTTAGAGCATGTTATGGAAAATGCTAGGAATGTCATTTAATCGGTGGAAATGAGCCTAGATAGTCATTTGATAATTGTTCATAATATTGGAAAATTCATGCTTGGATTGGTTAGTATTCTAGCATGTTGAACAATTAGTGAGTTGAATGATTGATTGGATCCTTGTGATGTCTAGGATTGAGACATTTGGACCAACCGTGAGTGATCAACCATTGGAGCAAGCTATGGAGCTTGAATAGCTCATTGGAATTGGTAAGCTCACACTTGTGTGGTGTTTTGAATTGAACATTTGATGGTTGATTGTGAAATACTCTTGGATGCAATGTGTTGATTGCATTACACCATGTGTAGGTGTTGGTTTTGGAGTAGAGTATTGTTGACATTGGTGAAGAACAAAGGTCGACTGAAGCATTGAGGTAAGCCTTCGGACCTTGGGTGTAATTCCCTTGATTGTTCCACCAAGCCCTGAAAGGGTAGTGGTGATTATAGTGTATATAAATGCAATAAAATAGTGTAATGCTTTGTTATACGTATGTGTATGCATTTGGTGTGGCATAGGATGGTGTTTCCCTATGTGGGTATGTGGCATGACGATGCGTAAATCATACTTGGTAGTTAGCTGGCCAGTAGGACTATTTGCATATGAGTTTCCTTAGGACAGCTTGAGAGCTCGAGGGATTTCTCCTGGAGATGTATTGCACTTTGCATAGATATGTATTTACTGCATTATTATTGTTATTGCTATTACACTGATATGGAACTGTGGGGTGGAGAGATGCTCCAAGGACCCCTGGTTTACTGGATATATTCGTATATCTCACCCCGTGTTGTGGGGACCCCCTTTCAGGTAAGGATGCTGCAGGAGCCTCTGGTGGCAAGTGGCCATATCTGGATTATGCATGAAATGTGGCATTTCTTTGAGTTTATGCATGCCTTTTGTAGTTGACATGTATAGGATTTTATTTTGAAAGCACATGGTCATTTGTATATCTTGATTCATTGGATGAACTTAGCCTATGCTCATGCCTTTGGTTGCACCTTTTGTTGATGGGAGCCAAGGGAATGATCATAGTGTTTTGTAAGCTAAGTTCTATGATTTGTAAAGGATATGTAATGTAAATGATGCCTACTTGAAATTCAATATATGCATGCTTGTTATGTATTGAGTTGTTGAATTGGTTGGGCTGAAAATCAATTAGGTACCCCTTTGTTTAAACTGGTAAACGATGAGAAAACAAAGGTCATGCTGCCCAAATTCTAGCTAAATCTCATGAGGAGAGGTTGGATGAGTGCTAGGATTTAGTTTTGGGGCATGGACAATTGGGGTTTGTAATGGGGATGCATTTTCCCCTAGGCTTGGACTTGAGAAATGTGGGAATTGGAATTCCCTGGCAGCGTGCTTAAGCGCCCAGGAGCGCGCCCAAGCGCCCTGCTGCCCCTGCGAGTGCCAATGCATTCTGCCTCCTCGCGCTGGAGCGCCCAAGTGGGGGCTTAAGCGCCCAGGATTGAGCGCTGGAGCGCCCTGGCTCGCGCTTAAGCGCCCTTTTGCTGCAGAAAGTTGGGATGCTTACTGTCCCCTCGTGTTTTAGCGCCCAGGGTGGGGCTTAAGCGCCCAGGGTTGCGCGCTTGAGCGCCCTGGTCCGCGCTTAAGCGCCCTTAGCCACTGTAGGAGGAGATGCTTCTGTCTCTGCGCGCTAAAACGTCCCGGTGGGAGCTTGAGCGCCCAGGCTAGCGCGCCTGAGCGCCCTGTTGCGCGCTTAAGCGCCCATCCACACTGGAAATGCTAATGCTTACTGCCTCCGTGCGCTTAAGCGCCCAGATGGAGGCTTTAGCGCCCGATAGCGCGCGCTTGAGCGCCCGGTAGCGCGCTGAAGCGCGCGGGGCCTGTGACCAACACTCTCTTGTGTTGCTTCAAATTGTCCTAACTTGGACTACAGTGCTCCGATTTGAGCACGGTTTGAAGCCACGGGTAGCTAATGAAGAAACCTACAATATAGTAGAAGTAATGAATTAAACAAGAAGTAAATTAATGGTTTAAAAATGGGAAATGAACATGATGTTAAGCTTAATTTATCTGTTTCCGCAAGGTAATATGGTTATGATCACGAAATTGGGTATTATAAGTTCGGTACGTTTTAAAATGAAAAATTTATCCGGATTTTAATTGAACCCATGTGATTGTAACTGCGCTTAATATCATAATGCGATGTTAACAAACCGGTTCTAGAACGGGGTGTTACATTTTATGGTATCAGAGCAGTTTCGTTGGGAATAACTGTTAGCTAGTGTTGAGTATGCTTAGTGTTTGATGCTTTATAGTTGTTTTAGTACTCTGTATGATTATTGCATTTGTGATCACTAAGTGTGGGCCTGATCAACTCGCTTCTTTGTGTAACATGTGTAGTGACATGACGAGGAACCGAAACAACCCCGGACCATCAAACACCAATGCTCAGCCAGAACCTGTTTTGGCTGCTCTTGTGAGGCCTAGAAGTGGCCGTGGGGCAACGGGCGTACAGCCTGATCCCGTGGCTGAAGCTCTTGCAGCCGTTCAGAGAGAGTTGGCTGCTAGCAGGCAAGCCAATGAAAATTTGTTAAAGACAAATGAAGACTCGCGGACTGCTATGGCCGCGATGATGACCGAGTTGAGGACGTTGAGGGGTCCT